GACTACTACTCCCGCTTCCAAGACATACAATTTTTGAGAACGACAACATCAACAACGATCATAAAATGTCTAACACAACTTATCTCGCGTTTTGGGATTCCGAGATCTATCAGAACCGATAACGGAAGACAATTTACAAGCAACGAATTCAAGCAGTATTGCTGGGAAAAAAACATTAAACTGATTCACACCCCTCCTTACTGGCCGCAAGCTAATGGGGAAGTAGAAAATATGAATAGGTCCATTCTGAAGAGGTTACAAATAGCTTATAACAACAAGCAAGATTACAAAATGGAAGTGCAAAAATTTATAATGATGTACAATGTAACACCTCATGGTACAACGGGAAAGTCACCGTCAGAATTGTTGTTTAACAGGATGATACGAGATAAGATCCCCTCCATAGTAGATATCGTGGGAGAGGAAATAGACCAGGAGGCGCGAGATGCAGACATATTAAGCAAACATAAAGGAAAAGAAAGATAGGATTCCAGACGTCAAGCTAAAGAAGACAGCATCACAATTGGATCCAAAGTTGTGGTGCAGAATATGACACCGGCCCACAAGTTAATGTCAAGGTTCGGAAAAGCAGAATATTCCGTGACTCAAAAAAGTGGAAATGAATTAGTGATGGTAGGGGAAGGAAAAACTATTCGTCGTCACATCAGCCATGTAAAGAAAATCCCTATAGAGGACTCGGATGAACAAACCAGGAAAGACCCAAGTTCTACTTTTCAGAGGCCGATGGAAGAACCAGGAAACCCCACGACACCAGCGGAAGTTATCGATGGAGGCGCAAGTACCCGGGAAGCTGTGAGCCCGTTGAAGCTTAAAAAAAGGGACGGAATGTGGCAGCGCGTCACCGAGGATTAATTATTACATAACTTCCTTACTTTTTTATAACGGAATATTATTATTAGTTCGTAATTGATCAGGCACCGAGCAGAGTGGTAGTACCTGTTATCGTTGTTACTTATTGAGTTTATCTAGAGTTTAGTGTCTATAAGTTAGGGTTGAATTGTTGTGGTGAATTGAATAAACTATTATATACCTATGCGTGTGTTATTGTTACCCAGGATACCACAAAGTTAATTCTGTTTTTGCCTTTAGGTGACAACCCCACAATGAGAAACCCTCGAGGACGCGGGTACAGTAGCGTGGACGACTGTAAGAAATATCGAATATGCGTTCTGGATGTGTCAAGCATTATTATATAACGCTTTTGTATGATTAATTGTTAATATGATAAATTGTAAATACGTTTGGTTGGAGGCATTCGGTTACGCACTCCCTGAGAGTTTGGTCGTGCTTAAGTGTTTTGTTAATATTGCCTTTATTTTATTTAAAAAATCCAAATCATACAGATTTTATATCATTTTAAATTTTTATTATTTCTTTAAAAAGAAATATTAAAAATTTAAAATGGTATAAAATCTGTTTAATTTGGATTTTTTAAACGAAATTTGTCGATAAACTATGGTAAATAATAAATTGCACCAATTAAATTTATATTATATTTATTGGGGGCGCCATGGGGCCGAGCAAAAAGTTATCTTTTTTCGCAAACTTCAATTTAAATTCTGCTTGCGCAGAACTTGTTTATTTAATGTCATTATAAACCCATATAAATTTGGTATGGGTCCCATATCTAATAATTGAGATATCGGTATACCCAAAATCCAACAGCCGCCACTGCAATGTTGGTTACATTAGATTAAAGTTGCATAACCACAAGCCTATATGAATTTATAAATTGGGAAAAGCCAGCAGTACTCATAATATTAAAAAAAAACTAAAACATTTTAAAATCAAAAATTGTTATAACTTTGTTATTCCTGAGAATTTTGAAACAAAGAAATTTTTACATGTAATTATACTCTTTATTCTACATTTTCATCCAATTTCTGTTTTAGCCGGATTTATAGTAAGCCAGTTTTGCCAATATAATAATATAAATGCTGCAATGTGAATGGATGGAGTCGCGTTCAGTAGCAACCAAGGTCGTTGGCGTAATAGATGGCCAATTTTTTAATTTTTCTTGCTGCTACTCCTACTCCAGACAATCACATTGCAGACATTTATGAAGACATTTTATTTTATTATTATATTGGTAACACTGGCTTACTGCTACTGCTACTCCTACTTTTTAGAACTATAAATCCGGCTTTTGAGTTACGATCACTATCTTTTGTTTTTATAATAGACGCCATAGTTTGATACATCGTTAATTTTATTTCTATCCCTGTAAAATTCCATTATGGCGGTCATAGGAAAAACAAAAGATGGTGGTGGTATCTTAAAATCTAACAGGCGAAAAAAATCACAAACTGGATAAAAATGTGAATAAATGTAAACACTTTTTTTCAAAATTTACAGGAATACAAAGTTAAAATGATTTTTGGTTTGACAGGTTTTCAGTTTTTTTTAAATTATTTAAGAACCGCAAATATTTTCCGAGTTTATAAATTCGATTTTAGTAGTCTTGCTATTTCACAACATTTGTCCAAATTAACCGACATTGTAGCTCTTCAAATAAAAAAGATTATACATATAATGATACTTTGTGACATATCTGTGACCCCGGTTACCGTTTGGTCACATATCAACCGAAATCTGCCGGAAAACGTCCTGTCGCGGCATAAACGATACATCTCACGGCTGCTTACGCACGCTAACTAATTTTAAATAGCGGGGGTTGCAATATTTAGTTGAATGTGTGGGTCTAAAGGGGCCCTCACACGTTCAATATTATGCCATAAAGACGTTTTAAAACGAACAGTAATTGGTTAAGTTTAGTGTAGTAAAAAAAACTTAAGTTGGCTACATATGGGAAACTTTCTTAATATTAATTTTATGAAGAAAAGTTATTCTTTATAAAAAGTTCTGCATGTTCTAAAACCTAAAATAAGATATCAAATTTTTTCAGTCATATACAAGGTTTGACAAAAAATATGAATTTGGTTCAAGACTAAAGTACCTTTATTTGTGACTAATATCGAAAACTAATATGAAAAGTTGTTCGGAATGAAAAACTATGTTTTAATATGCAAGTACATTTTTTTTTAAATTTTTCTCGAATTACCGATACCGACCATTTATCTTTTTTATTTATTACAAATACCTGGTGGAGACTTGAACCACCCTTGAAAAAAAGTATTTACTGAAATGCTTTGTGTCTGATTATGATTATGTGACCTTATTATTTATTTATCGTGGGGTTATCTGTGCCATGCGAATTAAGGTTTTTTAATAATAATTTGATAGAAAACAGACTTTCTATGTTTGAACAAATAAGTATTTATTTAATAAATAAATAACTTGAAATTGAAATACTAATTTATTTAAACAAATTGTTACTAAAAATCCTTTACTCGCAGAGAAATGGCATAGATTAATTCGCATGGCACAGATAAACCCACGAAAAATTAATAATAAGGTCACATAATCATACTCAGACACAAAACGTTTCAGTATATCCTTTCTTTGAAGAATGGTTCCAGTCTCTCACCAGGTCAAGATCGGGATAAAATATTTTCTTACACAGTAAAAAAACAACTCTAAGCAATACTAATTAGAGTTCACACAGGTCCACACTAAATAGTGTTGTTTTATAACACTACAATAATTGTTAATTTGTAGTGTAATTTTCCCCAAGTAAGGAAGTATGATTTAACACTATAGCACTAAGGATAAAGTAATTTTACACTGTATTAAAAAGTGTGTACTTCTGCACTTCCTGGGTAAAATCCCACTTTTGATCAGTGTAAATTAACACTACTTTGGAAAGATTCTAATTTTAGAGAGGTAAGTACTTTTAATCTTTTAGTGCAAATTAACACTATTATTTGAGTAAAACCTATTGGCGATAGTGAATAAAACAAAAATGTAAATAAAAAGAAACATTTATTTTGAACAAAAACCTATGACAATTATCAAAATCGGTGCCTTTTAAAATATAATTTAATATTTGAGTCGTATGGCTGGCTTCATGGTTCAATGCAATGTTTTACTGGCTGTCAACTTGTAAGCAATGAATTATCTTGAGAATTCATCAGTAATCCATTTTTCTGTTATAAAAAATGGGTGATCCCATTGGTAGAGATGCGTCAGGCGGCTGTATGTCGGGGATTTACCACACGTGTACAAATTTTCCATAATATTAATAAAAATGTAGGTATAGGTTAACCTAATTAATATAACAACCATTACGCTTGGAAATAAAAAGTAAATAAAGTGTGTATGTATTTATATTATTAATGTTACAAGTACCCGACCTACGTAAATTATTGATATATAATATAGGTCGGGTATGGACATCCTTTTAACATATTGGTATTTATTGAGTATTAAGGCTTAAAGAAAAAGGACTTACCAAAAAATAAGAATGTCCCCTTATGGATTCACCATAATTAAAATCTAACTTAACAAAAATGCCACACTTCCACAACGCGGTATCTTCGGATATGCACTGCGTAGGTAGATAGGTACCAACCAAACATTTTAAAACGCATTTTTTAGTCTATTTTGCCAATATTGGTGTAATTTAACTTTAATTGTGGTACAATGTGCACTAGTAGTGTAAAGAAAAAAGAGCTCTTAGTAACATCAAAACAGACAAAGAAATTGGCATGCACTGTAGTGTACATTTTGTCACTATTTAACATATTAAGGGGTAATAAACACTCGCATTAAGTTTTTCTACCCTTTTGATTTATTTTAATAATAAATAGTGTGAATGTACCAATGAATAATGTTCATATTCTTTAAATGTGTTTAATAAAGTTAATAAGCACTAAATGCTACCTAGTGTATTTTGTAGTGTAACTTTTACAATTACAAATCAACTCTAATATTTTTACCCCTACACTAAAAAATTTACACGAGCAAAATTTTTTACTGTGTATAGGTAACTTTTTAAGAAAATATTTTGTCTGTGTCAAATATTCAATAATCCCTGTAAATAATGATTTAAACGCAAAAGGCCACAATGTAAATCTTACATGAGTCTTTGGGGGTCCATGTTTTTCCTGATCTTAAATCCAGCCATAATTTAAAATGTGGTAATTTATGACAATCCGGCAATTTAGCTATGTAAAAACCGTCCTCTGCTAAGGTTTCCAAGGCATCCTAAAAAAGCAAATTTAGTTTAACTTAGTATATAAATACTTCCAAAATAGAATGTAGGTAAACCTTAAGTAGTTTCATTTGCTCCACTGGGTCCTTTGGAAAATTCTTTGATATAAAAAATCTCTTTAACTTGGAGTTAGGATTAATCGACATTTTTCTTTCTTTTCCTTCTAGCTCTGCAGGGCTCTTTCGTCTTTTATTGAAACCCTCTGAATTTTTATCTTTTTTTGAGCTAGATAGTCTACTATCCTCCGATTCGAGCTTTTTATTATCTTGTGGGTTGGTTTTCTCTGATTTAGACTTTTTATGTTTTACCTCGAAATCTTGTGATGTCCTTACTTCCGAAGATTTTCTTTTTCTAGAACTTGATGAAGATTGTCTTGTATTTACTGGTTCCTCCTCCACATCATCTTCAACCTCTACAATTTTTGGATATAAACAATCCGCATTAACTTCAAAAGGTAATGGCGGTATGACATCCTCAGGCTTCATAAATAACTCGTTATCTTTTATAAGCTTCTTGCATTCATCTACAAAGAAGTTTATTTGTTGTATATTTCCGTCTATCCTTTCGATTTCCTTTTCCTCTCTGTATATTTCCCTTTGATGATCCAACTCCAATAGGTAGTCCTTTATATTATCCTCCATTTGATTTAAGTATTTATCGTAGAAATCCGAACAAAAAGTGTGTGCAGCCTCAAATTTCCTGAACATTTCCATGCAGGGACACTCCTGAATATCCTTCGCTTCGGATAGAATAAAAACGTTTCCGTTTGGTGTCTCTTTTACACCGGAAATCGTGTAGGTCACTCTCCCGCCTGGTTTATTCGGCATTATGGCAACCATTTGTTTATTTTCCAGTTGTTTTTTAATTACTTTTGCACATTTGCAATCGGGTTCTTTACGTATACCTGAGATCAAATAGACTGGTCCGTTTTTAGTGTTGACGACACCGCCAAGAACGTATTTGTCACTTTGCGATTTTATTTTCATCATGGCCGCCATTCGTTTCTTATATTCTTCGTAAAATTGAAGTTTTTCCACATAGTTTAATAGACATGGACATTTTTTTTCCTCGTAAAAATCTTCAGTGCTTTCTTTTTTAAATGAACCTTCCAAAGAGTAATCGGCATTGCTTCCTCCAAATGAACCACTATGATAATTATTATAATTGGTATTATAATTATTATAATCAGTAAAATAATTGTTAGTATAATTATTATTATCTTCAGTATTTTCATCTACATCGCCTTTATATTTAAAACAGTCTTCTTCTGTGGTTTTGGGCTTAAACTTAAAGCAATCATCACTAGAAACAGTTTCACTTTTAATGCTTTTCTCAGATATGTCAGGCATCATTTTTTTCCTTTTTCTGGTCTCTATACATTTTTTGCACCTGCATTTTTTCGAGAAAAATTTTTGTAAAGCATCCTTACATTTGCAAACTTCCATTATTTGTTTATCTTCCTGGGATATAAAAAATTCTGTTGAATCATCACTTGAGCAAAATCTAAAATAAAATGTTATAAAAGAATTACCCAGGCCGGTCTAGTCCAAAAGAATTTTTAAACAAGAAACAAGGCTATATATTAAAAGGTGTTTGATGCGTTGAATTGATTTCAAGTTTAAGCTTAGATGCCCCATCACATCTGATGAGTCAGTTAAGACTAGAACCTCATCAATGATGACGTTCTAGTCTTAAAGGAAAAAAAAACAGTTTTCCGCTATATTTGGGGTTACGTTATGAGGACTTTTTTCTCAACAAAAATCGTTGCACCATCTTAAATTACTAAACCTAGCAGTTAAAAAAAGGAGTAACACTACATCAAGAGCACTAACAGGACTAAATCGACCTTCACTGAGAGGAGTAGTGATAACATTCACAACAGAGTTCTGGAAAAACTATTGGGAAAAATCCCCCTCAATCGTCAACTTGATTTTGTACACCTGTATACGCTTCAAATTCAAAAAATAAACGAGATAATTGACGATACAGGAGACCGCATCATATGCGGTCTCTATATTATATAAAAAATCAAATTTCTAAACTACGACCGATAGGTTAGGTGATCCAAAATTGTAGTTTCTTATATTTGTGTGATAACGATGATAAACGGCAAAGTAGGTTATGCAATTACGCTTTTAAAGATATGAATAACATCAAAAAGTATTAAAGAGAGCAGTTATCCAGGAAAATTTAAAATTTGTATTGTCAAGTCCACATGGCTGGATCATGTTCTTTTCATTTTTGCTGTGCATTTTATACATATTGAAACTTAGTTTGCTCGTTGAGATAGTGGAACCACTAACAGCCAGGAGCACGAAGCAGCGATCCGACGAAGATAACGACGACGTCAAGAAAATGTATTTTTAATATTTATCTTAAAATGAATTATAGTGTAATTAGTAATGAACGTGTAGATATTATACTATATTGGTACTCAATTATTTTTGTTGGTAGTCTTGGTTTATAAATATTTTATTAAGCAATGATAAAGTCTATTAATTTATTATTATAAAGCCAGTTGCGCCTGAGATTTCTTACTGAAAAGTCGTGTGAGTGAGCGCTCGACTTAAAAACGTAGACCTACAATGAGAGACATAAAGAATAAAAACAAAAAACCGCTCGGGTTCAATAAGTATTTCAAGTGAAAATACTGTGCGAAAAAGTGCTAAGTGCCAAACAAGTGCTGGCAAAAACGTACATGACCAGAGTAGGAGACAAAAACAAAAAATCACGATCAGGTCCTGGACCTGAGCGCCATGGGGACGGCAAATAAAAGGGATAAGTACTATATTCCAATCTGCACGACATTTCGCAGCTCACAAAAAACAAGCTTGTAGTTTTTAAGAATGTAATTATTAAAAAAACATTGCAGTTATGCAGGCGACATTTAAAAACTTAGGTAACCTAAAGTCGCCTAAAAGCAATAAATTACGCGAAGGCAAACAAACTAAAAGATCAAACTAAAAATAAACACCCACACATAACAAGGAAAATATTTTGACAAGTATAATAATCTTCGCATAGTGGGGTAAATTAATTAGAATATATCCGTTTATAACTCTTTTTAGGTTAACAAATAACGACTTTTAAAAGGCTGAAACTTCTTTAAAGTCAGTGCTTGGAATGAACGGCATTACGAAAAACGGTTTTCGCACAGTGGGGCAAACAATTTGTGTATAGCGATTTCTGAATTTTCAGCAGAAACGGAAGCAGATGAACAGGATCCTGTTACCTCAAGAAGCATACACAACAGTAACAGAGTATTAACCAACCAACCCCCATTTATGTTACTAAATCCCTGGTCTATGGGGATTTCGGATTGTACTTAGTTACGGGTCAGTCTATCGTCCCCAAAAACCAGAAGGTTTTCCCTCCTTGTCCCAAACTCCACTAGCCTAATCGGGCGTATAGCCCCTTCTCGGCGACAAAATTCCTGGAGGGGTCTTAACCATCGACACTGTCTCTCAAGTACTTAAGATCCTAAAGCCATTTTCAAATTTAAGCCTCTCTGTGCAGAGGCTAAATACATACGTAGGATTTAGAATAGGCCCCTTTGACCTCCTTGTTTAAAATCCTAATTGCGTTTAATAAAAATAATCTTATTTCAAAAATAAAACTATATGTATATATTAATTATAAATATATTGTACCAAACGTTTACGCTCGGACAAGTGTCTGCGTTACCATCAGAAAAAAAAAGTGTTTGTTGTTTATTCGGCGACCCGATAAAGTTTAAAATTGGTTTTGTTGCAATATACTGTCGGGGGTGCCGGGTTATCGCGTTTTTTTCTTTTAATTACTTACGTAGGTACGGTATACGCACATAATTTTTTGTGTGGCTTAGTGTGATGTTTGTTTTTTTCTCGTGAGGTTTATATTATTTTTGTAAAAGAAATAATGACTGATAGAGCTAGACAATATCTTAAAAAGATCTAAAAACGGAAACAAAAGCCAGAAAAACTGAAAGCAATTGGTAAATTACCCAAAATCGACGGTTTCAGGAAAATGAAGATAAAAAAGATGATTTTAGAGAAGACAAAGACACGCTAAATGGCTTGTCAATGAAACCTCAATAATAAAAAATCCGTTAATTCAAGACATTTCAAGAATGGACTTTGAAAATGTACTGTACACAAAGTTGTTATGTCTCAAAAAAATATTTTTTAAAAATACACATAGGTAATAAAGAAGTTGCACGTAGACAATGGATTTATATTCAGAATTTAATGGTAACATATATTACTTAAATTAAAATTATTTAACCGTAACAGTAATTCTTCTTTCATAATGGGATTTTATGATTGGAAGAATGAAAATTTAAGTGAACACCACTAATCAAACGGTCAAATATTTTAGCCGAATAGATACCGAGACTCAAACAATTTATCGAAAAAACTTTTTGGATAAATGTACTTGGGCGAACTGTTTCTGTGGTCAAATTTTTAACCTCCTGTGGATTAGCTTTTAGAAAAACAACGGAAATATATGGGAGCATTAGAACCAATTGCAGAATTCGATCCTTCTCTTAAAAATCATATCGAAACGAAGGAAAATCAAGGAAGAAAAAAGTTGTATTATCTATCATAACGTGACGCCTTTCTGCAGGAAAAAAACAACCCGAAAAAATAATAAAAAATCGGAATATTTGGGCTAAATATCTCGAAAGGCCTAAAAGTGACATACGACGATTTACAATTTTATTTTATTGCATTTAAAATCGGAAAAGGAGTCAATAATATTTTCAAAATTTATTTTATTAACTTCTTCTGCTTCTACAGGGTCCGGCAAAATTGAACGGTTTTGAAAAGGCTGCTATGGAAATACTATTGATTTGGTATATGACAGATTGGCCGGTTAATCAACGGATCTGAGCCAGTCCTTTGTACAAACGCAGAGACGCTTTCGTCGTGAATATAATTTGCTAATGCGCGCTAAAGTCCCATCAAGAAATGCCATTTTGAGATGGCTAAGAAATTTTAACTAAAGAGGCAGTGTAAAATCAAAATTTGCCGGTGGAACTCGTACAGTTCGTACAAAAGAAAATATTGGGAGAGTCAGAGAAGCGTTTGAGCGCAGTCCACGACGTTCTGTAGTTCGGCACTCACACATTTCAGACCTAAGTTTAGGATTAATGTTACATCTGGATTTAAAACTCCATCCGTACAAGATACAGACAGTCCAGAGGCTTAATCCCATTGATAAAGTCAATCGACTCAATTTCTGCACATAATTTTTAGAGACAATGAACAACAATGCAGAAATTCTTAATAACAACTTCCAGCAGAATTGGTTTTAAGGTAGTTGTCGTGCTGTAAGCATACAATCAGAAAATTTTTGTATACTTATTAAGGACATGACAATACAATTATCCTTAAAATTTAAAGTCAATTGACCGTCTATAAACCGAGATAAATTCAATTAAAAATTGGATAATTAACATGGATTGTATACGCTTTCTGTGGTTCTGTACAAGTTTCTTAGTTATAAAAAAAACTAACTGTCAGAAGCTTTCAAAAAACTAACAGTCTTTTAATATCATTTTGCTGAGTTTAAAAAAAAAATTATTAAAAATTTTTGACCGTCCAATTGTTTATAAATAACCGTTTAGAGTTCAACAATTTGTAAAAAGTATACATCACTAGTGTCAGATAAAAACAACTTGGCAACGCTGTACGCGAGTATAGATATTATTTCCGCAGTAAATTCAAACACACTGATTCAGTCTCTAATATATCTATTGGTTGAGCATAAGCGACTTTGCCGGATTAAAACTTGAAAATATTTGAAAGTATTACGTAAAGGTAACGTCTCCATGGAGACCCATAGAGACCCTGCAGGGTACAGTCTTGCGAAAAAATTATTAATCACTTAGCTCGTATACTTTTACGGTGCGTATAATCCAGTGGCGGCTCGTGGGTCTACAGGAGGGTGAGGCTACATAAGGTTAATTTTGTCTAAATACGAATAAATTTCCACGTCACCCGGGAGGTAATATTCTGCGACGCGTTGACCTTTTTTAAAATGGAGCCGATAGCCCTACTAAACCAAAAAATATACTCTAAAATACAAAATAAACAAAATATCACATCAAAGACTAGTTTTAATCTTAAACTTAAAATATAGTCTTAAAAAAGTTAAAAATAAATAAATTAATCAAAAAATAAAAATAAAACTAAAAAGTCGACCCCTACCTAAGTATTAAAAAATATAAAATACTATACGTCTATCTTTTAAGATTGCAAATTTATCTATTATTTGGTCGTAAAATTGTGGGTCTGCAGTGAGATTTGAAAGTAATTCTAAATTTTCAAACCGCGTCTCTAATTGAAGAATTATGCAATCTATTATTTCAAAATATAAAATTTGCTTAATAAAAACTGCTAAATCTAACTTAGTGTTTCCCTACAATAATTAAATAAGAAATTTTACTAATCGAGACAAAAACTATAAAAGATCAGCCAAAAGTTTTAAATAATTTAATCTGAATCAAAACAATAACGTGC